GTGCCATCTGCAGGCAGGGAGGGCACCCTCCTACCTTGATGTTCTTGGTGGCCTCGAAGCCATCGAGCTGGTTGAGGAGCTCCAGCATCGTGCGCTGCACCTCGCTGTCCCCACCAGAGCCACCCTCCAGGCGGGAGGAGCCGATGGAGTCGATCTCGTCCATGAAGATGATGGAGGGAGCATGTTCCCGGGCCATCACAAACAGCTCCCGCACCATTCGGGCACCTGCAGGGAGCAGAGAGGGCTGAGCCCTGGCACCACATGCAGCTCAGAGCACCCACAGCACCTCTGCCTGCGCTGGGCACCACGTGAAAGGCCCCTCTCGAGGCCACCCAGCACTGCTGGAGCCCTCGCTGGGGCTCCGGCATGAGCAGCCACCTCCCCCCACACCCTTTTACCTTCGCCAATGAACTTCTGCACCAGCTCAGAGCCCGAGACACGGATGAAGGTGCAGTCAGTGTGGTGGGCCACAGCCCTGGCCAGCAAGGTCTTGCCTGTGCCGGGGGGTCCGTACAGCAGCACACCCTGCAACAGCCGCGTGGACACCTCAGCACCCCTGTCTGTGCCTGTCCGGCCAGCCACACCCTGACAGGAGCCATGGGGACCCCCTCAGGGATGACACAGACAGTGCCACTGTAGCACCCTCAGATGCTGAACCCCACCACAGACCCACACTTGCCTTGGGCTGGGCGATCCCCAGCGCCTCAAAGAGCTCAGGGTGCTTGACCGGCAGCTCGATCACTTCCTTGATCTCCTTTATCTGCTTGTCCAAACCGCCGATCATCTCGTAAGTGGAATCTGGGACCTTCTCCACCATCATCAGGGACACAAGAGGGTCCACTTTGTTGGGCAGGATCTTGTGCAGTGTGTAGCTGTCATTGCGCAGGGCCACACGGCAGTTCGGCGTCACCTGCAGTGAGGGCAGAGGGGAGCTCACCGTCCCCGGGGCAGGGAAGGGCCAGGCAGGGCCAGGCTGCCCGGAGGGAGCGGTCACATCCCTTTCCATGGGCCCAGGACACTCACATCATTAATGTCGATGTTCTTGTCCACGTCCACCACAAACTTCCCCTCCGGGTGCACCTGGAAAGCAGCAGTTGCCACCACAAGAGTTATTTCTCTAAGTCCCCTGTCATGTGCCCAATATCCACATCAGCTGCTTGGAGTGGGAGGAAGGAGCTAGAAAGCTCAGCTGCCACCAAACACCCTGCAAAAGCCCTAAGGAAGGTGCCTCCCACGTTTCTGGGGAAGGTTTGAGCCCAGGAGAGCCACCACAACGTGCTTCTCTGGAAAAAGAGCTCTCGCTTGATGTCTTTTGGTTGTTACCTCCCCCACAGCTCACACTCACACTTGCTCCAACCACCGTGGGGTCAAAGGGAGGGTCTGTTGGACCCCACCCCACTCACCCCTGCTCTGCCCAGCCCAGTTTCCCCTTGGCACAGTTCAGCCTCATACCTTGACGAGCACTTTCTTCTTGTCCATGGCTCTCACCACCTCTCCCACGTAGGAGCCCTGCTCCTGCAGCAGCTGCAGCTCCTCCCGCAGCAGGCGCACTGCAGAGGAGGAGACATTGGCACCAGCACCCGTGCCCAGATCCCCTGCCCACATCAGAGGGACAGCGCTTGTCGCCGTGGCCAGGAGCCACC